GTGCCACCTGTGGCACATATGCCATAGGTTCTCCATCACGGTCCTAGACCCCTTGAGGAGGGGTGTGTGCGAGAGAATAATTTCTTTCCTCTTTGTTTCTTAATTTTAAATGATAGACAAATGAAACCTCATCTGTTCCGCTCTGAAGTTCTTTGAAAGTTGCAGTATTGTTTCAACAGTATTATTTTTTTTAAAAGGCATTAAGTGGGAAAACCTGTGTACAGATAATCCTCGACTTATGACCAGCCTTTAAGCTAGGTTAAGCTATGTTATGATCATGAGGGTTAGGGTTAGAGTTAGGGTTAGGGTCACAAAAAGGTCACAAGAACACATCAGTCACATGGGTGGGCTATTTTAGAATTGTCACAAATTACAACGAAGATGGGCAGGCTCCATCACAGTCGTAAATCAAGGACTTAAACCTGTAAAATGTGTAATTTTGTGAAATAATGTGTAGAAGATTTATACAAGCTTGTCTTGGTAGATATTTTGTGTAAAAAAAGGGCTTTTTAAAAAAAGATAAATGGGCAGCCTAATATATATATATATATATATATATGGTATGAAATGTTGGAGATTTTTAATATCAAGTAGAGAAATAAATGTCCTGTCGACTTAAATATGAGCTAGCTGTGTGCTGCAGCTGCCAAACCAGCCAGTGCAATCCTGGCTGCATTAATGAGAAGTGCCAGTATCACTTTATACCGCACTGGTCAGGAAACGTGTGGAATATTGTGTTCAATTCTAGTTACCCTGATAAAAAAGAGATGTTGAAACCCTGGAAAGAAGGCAGAGAAGAGCGACAAAGATGATTCGGGGGACTGGAGGCTAAAACATGTGAAGAATGCTTGTGGGAAATGGTTGTGGTTTCAAGAGAGTAAACACAAGACAAAGGTAACAGCATAATAACCTTTTACTGTTTCATTTACGAACCTTGTTCCTTCACAGATAAAAAGCTGCTTCCAGCTAATTAGCTCTGACAAGAAAGAGCCTTGCCAAGGTTTTGCAAGGCTGCCAAGAACAACAGATAAATTTCCTAAAGAATAAATCAAAGAATCTCCAAACACCAATTCAGGTATTCTCATGTCCACCAGGCTTGAGTGCAAAAACTTCTTTGCTTCCTGCAAAGAACTCCGGTTTCTCAGCTGGCTTTTATCTCTTAAGGGAGGGGCCATTACCTTGCAGCCTTACTCCCGAGTCGCCTGTGCTGCTGCAGCTGCTCTTTGCTTCGAGCAGCCCTGCACGCGCACACCCTGGGCACAGGCTCCTCGGGGTCCTCTTCCTCACTGCTGCCAGCCTCCACACTCTCCACTCCCTGATGGTCCTGGCCCATCCCTGCCTCAAACGCAGGCCCCTCATCCGAGTCCTCGCTCTCCGAGACCTCAGCCGTCCGCACCTGCTGCCGGCGGACCACAACAGTCTAGTTTAATAAAGAGAAGAACTAGGGGTGACAGGATATGTCTTCCCATATCAAAAAAGAAGGGGGTCCACCTATTCTCCAAAGCACCTGAAGGCAGGGCAAGAAGTAACGCACGGAAACCTATCCAGGAGAGATCCAAGCTGGAACTAAGGAGGAATTTCCTGACGGACAATCAATCCTTGGCATGGGTGCTCCAACACTGGAGGTTTTCAAGCAGAGATTGGACCACCATTGGTCTGAATGGTGTAAGGTCTTCTGTTGGAAGGGGCTGGACTAGAACAGCGGTCACCAACTGGTGGCCTGTGAGAAAATTTTGATGGTCCGCAGAAAAATGATTGGCATTTTTTTTATATTGCATTCAATCCGGTGGCCTCAAACTACGTCCCCTGGGGCCGGATACGTGCAATGAACATCTGTGTTGCAGCAGAGAGTTTCTTTTGGTGTGGGGAAGAGGGGGGCAGAAATTCCCACTTGGGGTCTACTTCAGCCTCCTGGTGGGGGCTTTGGGCGAAGGGTGGAGGGAAGGGCCACTGGTGGCGAAGAGCCGGAGGGCCTCGTTCCAGTGGGACTGCATCAGGGCCTGGAACTGGCTGACCATCTCAGGCCGCTGAGGCTCCAGGCACTGGTAGCTGGCCCTGCATTCCTGCAGGTCTTCCTTCTGCTTGGAAAGCCCATGCTCGTAGTCCTCAGTGAGGCGCTTCTGCTGAGCCTCCTTCTCGGTCAGATCCAGTTTGAACCGAGCCAGCTGTTTTGAAAGAGGAGGAGGACCACCTCGTGGTCTTTGGACCCCCCCACGTTCTTCTCCACAAAGGTTGCTTCACTCCAACAACTGCTTCCTGTTGGGGGGCCCTACGGAGCCCAGGCAGGGAGGGGAGGAGTGGCTCGAAGGGGAGAGGCCAATAGAGTCTGGTGAAACGCCCCTTGACATGAGTGACATCGAGTTGGCCACACCCACCCAGTCACATGACCACCTAGCCATGCTCACCCAGCCAGTCATTAGGGAAAGCTTCCCCTCGCACATCCGTGCCAGTCGCTTCCGGCTCTAGGGGGCAGCGCTCCTCTCCGTGACAAAGCCGAAGACCACCGTCTCCGTGGTCACGTAGCCAGCGTGACTAAACGCCAAAGGTGTACAGAACGCTGTGACCTTCTTCCCACCCAAAGGGGTCCTTATTTTTCTACTTGCCTGTTTACGTGCTTTGGAACTGCTGGGTTGGCAGAAGCCGCTGGGACAAGGAACGGGAGCTCACTCTGTCCTGCGGCGCTAGGGATTCGAACCGCCGAACTGCCGACCTTTCTGACCGACAAGCTCAGCGCCTTAGCCATGGAGCCACCGTGTCCCTATTAGTGGTCTGTGGGATTTAAAATTATGAATTTAGTGATCCCTGAGGCCTGAAAGGTTGGTGACCCAAGGTCCCTTCCAACCCATGGATTCTATGTGCACAACTGGGGGCTGGGGGGGGGAAATGTCGCAAGTCGCAATATTCGGAGAAACAGGGAAATGGGAGCAAGCGCTACGGAGAAATGCTGACGGACGCCCTCTGTCAGGCAGTGCTCCATTCAAAATCCAAGAAAGAAATACTTAGACTCTTTTCATTAGAGAAAAGATACCTTTTACTGGAAATGAAGTGGTAGCAGCGATAGAATTCTGAATCTGAGGAATTAGGCGCGTAAATCGCACATACAAAGTGATGGAAATGTTCCCACCCCCAATAGTTCAGGTGATTCTTCCAATTACAAGTTGTGAATATGATCGTGTGGACACCTTCAGGTGGTGATGAGGCTTCTGTCTGGTTGACCTTGGCATACTTTGATAAAAGTTTGCAGTTGCGCAGAGGAAAGAAAGCTAAGCAAGAATGCACTCTCCCCCCTCCTCATTTTATACAACACTAGATTGTAACACCTCCAGCTCGCTTCCCAGACTTTTCCCCCCCTCCTCTCCCCCGTTACTTATGGCAGCCGAAAGATGCAAAGCAATAGTAGAAGATCTTGAAGGCCGACACCCTCCAGAGATGACCTCCAAAGTCCTCCCAATTCTATGGGTCTATGAACATTTCGGGGGAAGGAGTTGAAGGCTGGGCTTGGTTGGAAGGGAGGGTGGCTGCGGGAGGAGGCCTGTGGGTGGGTTTGTGGTGGGGTTGAGAAGCATTGGGGTCATTAGGGTCAAGCAGGCCTGGCTGGGGAATGCTGGGAGTGGAAGTCCACTCATCTTAAAGCTTGAGATGCCTTCTTTCAAAAACTGACCCTGAGCTGCAGGGACTCTGTTTTTGGCTCTTGCTGCCGAATTCTGCTTTTTTTAAGCCTTTGCAAGGGTGTGTGTGTGTGTGTGTGTGAGCTGAGTATCTAACAAACTTGACCGAGTGGGTCAGCAGTTCTTCTTATCCAGCTGCCTCCATCCCAAGTCAAAGAGTCACAGGCCCACCTGCACAGCTTTCCCTTCTTCTGGTTTTGCATGTGTTTTCGCTTTCCTCTTTCTTGTTTCTCCTTCCCTTGAGGGAGCGAGGAGGAGAAAGAGAAACAGGAGAAGGACCACCTCCTGGTCTTTGGACAAACCCCCACCACCACCATGTTCTTCTCCACAAAGGAAACTGCCAGCAAGGGAGGGATTTTCAGCACTGG